TGTAAGAATCGGGTGCAGACCGTCGTTGCCCCCTCGCTGCCCTTCGTGGTCCCGTTTCAACCATTCGTGGCCCCCTCGCTGCTCTTCGTGGCCCCGTCCTTGCTTGCCCTCCGCGGCCCAATATACGCATGCCCTTCGTGGCCCCTGCTCGTTCGCTCCCGTCGTGGCCCAATGTGCATGCCCATCGTGGCCCCGCTGTCGCCCTTTGTGGCCCCCTCGCTGTCCTACGTGGCCCCGTTGTTGCCCTCAGTGGCCCCGTCGTTGCCTTCCGTGGCCCTATTATCTGCCCTTCGTGGCCCCCGCTCGTTCGCGCTCTCGTGGCCCCAATCGCTTTCCCTTCGTGTCCCCGCTGTCGCCTTTCGTGGCCTACTTCGCGCCTTTCGTGGCCCTGCTGTCGTTCTCTCTCTCGCTCTCGCTTTCGCTCGTCGTCGTCGCCGTTGTCGTCGACGACGTCGTCGTCGTCGTGGTCGGTCCCCTGTCCGATCCCGTTGGGGTCGTGCTGCCGCCGATCAGCGCTGCCGCTGGCCAGGCCGACGGTCCGCGGCCGCCCCACCGCTTGCCTGGGCCCGGCCTGCAGGGGGAAAAACGTACACCCCCCAAAAGGGGTACGATCGAAGACGGAAAAGGCGGGTATCGAGGGTTTGGGAAGAACGCGTCAACGTACACTCGAGCAGATAAGAGCGAACAGTCTTAAAATGATTGGTGTCGTTGTTGTGGGAACAAGTGGGCCCTTTCTTCGGGGTTCCTTGTGGCGGCCTGGAACCATCTGGGGGCCTTCCAAATTATCCTTCGGCTGTCCCTAGGCATGAGTGGGCCGCTTTGGAACCTGTTGTGATAACTCCTTGAAGCCCTCCGGCTTTTGTACAGCCCTGGCTATCAAACAAACAGCGGCTGTTGCATTCAAATATGTACATATATAAATGTGTGTATATATATCATACCATATCATAGAATAATCATGAAAAGCGTGGGTGCGGATGACGCGGGGACGGCGACACCGACGCCGACTGCGATTCGTTTTGTTTGCCCGATTGGGTGTACATATATAGATGTATACATATCCAGAACAAACCGCATGACTGACCTTAGGCAATTGTTAAGGACCCAACCCCCCCCCCACACACACACCTTCCTGTGAAAGGATACCACTTCCGGTGCCCTGAAAGCGTTACCTCGGCACCGGAGGAGCCCGCAGAGAGCACTCGGGGCCAAGCTAAGCCTTGCTGAGCCCTGCTGGCTCCCGCTAAGCCCTGCTAAGCAACGAAAAGCCAGGCTAACCCCCTGCTGAGCCCTGCTCGCCCCTGCTAAGCCCGCAGGGAGCACTCGGGGCCCAGCAAAGGCCTGCCAAGCGCGGGTTAGCTCCTGTCAAGCAGGGCCTAGCAGGGCTTGCCAGGGCTTGCCAGGGCTTGGCAGGGCTCGCCAGGGTTAAGCAGGTCTAGCAGGGCTTAGCAGGGTTTAGCAGGGCCTAGCAGGGCCTACCAGGACCTAGCAGGTCTTAGCAAGGCTTGACAAGGCCTAGCAGGGCTTAGCAGTGCCCAGCAGGGCTAAGCAGGGCTTAGCAGTGCTTAGCAGGGCTTAGCAGTGCTCAGCAGGGCTTAGCAGAGCTCAGCAGGGCTTAGCTGAGCTTCGCAGGGCTCAACAGGGCTTTGCAGGGCTCAGCAAGGGTTAGCAGAGCCTAGCAGCGCCTAGCAGGGTTCAGCATGGCTCGGCAAATAACGCGGGGGTGCGGGGCGGGGCGATTCCCTGGGCTGGAATCCGATTCCTACTCTTATTGTGAATGCTATTATTCGTGCTCTTATTCTTATTAATATTATTATTATTATTATTATCCGCACTCTTACTACTGTTCGTATGACTCATCGTATTATTACTTGTGTGCTTACTCTTGTTTGTATGCTCATTCGTATTCGTATTAGCATTACTGTTTTTATTACTATTGTGAGTGTTCTTACTCCTCGGGCTCTCTGGATTTGTTGTGCCTCCGGGTGCTAAGATAACGCTTCTGTGCGGGGCGGAGAGCGATACCCTGGGATGGACCTCCCCTAGAATGGCCCGCGGAAATAATCTTCCCCAAGGGGGCTGTAAAAAGAAACGCAGAGGAGGAGGCGGAGGAGGAGGACGAGGACAATTCCAGGCTCTCGGCCGTGAGCGCGCAACTGAGCCCCTTGGATTTCTCCAGAGGGTTCTCCAGTATATGGACAATATATTCGAACCCTCTCACATTCGAGGGAGATTCCAAATCACCCCCGCGCCCCCGACATCAATGTTGATCTCAGTGAAGGCGGTGCTTTGGGGTTCGAATATTTGTCCACTCACGCCCCCCCCGTCGCCACGCCATTAACATTAATTTCGGGGGGTCGGGGGGCATCTTGGGCCACAGGGTTCGAATATAATGTCCATGTACGGTCCCCCATCTTGTTTTGCAGGTGGGAGTAGGGAGGAGGGAGAGGAGGAGACCGCACAGATGCCACAAACGTCAGCATTACAATCACAATCGCCATCATCGGCGGCATCATCTACACCATCATCTCCACCATCATCATCATCATCATCATCAGCATCATCATCATCAGCAGCATCATCATCATCATCATCACCATCATCAGCATCAGCATCATCATCAGCAGCAGCAGCATCATCACCCACAACCCTCAAGGAGGAATGAGGAACAGGAGGGAGGAGGGGGGGAAGAGAACGAGGAGAAGGAATAGGAGGAAGATGGAGGTTCCGCTCCTGGGCGTAAGACGCTGGGGCAAGGGGTGAGACGTTTCAGGAGGAGTGCGGAGGGGTCTGGAGGAATGGGAGAATCCCAGAGGATTGGGAGGAGTGCGGAGGGTTGAGGGGAAATGGGACGGTTGTGGGAGGTGTGGAAGGAGTGCGGAGGCGTGGGGAGGACTGGGAGGGTTGCGGAGGTTTCGGGGGGAGTGCGGATGGGTGGGGAGGAATGGGAGGGTGGAGGAAATCCCTTTCGGGAGGAGTGCGGGAGGGGTGGGGAGGAATGGGACGGTTGCAAAGGTTTGGGAGGAGTGCGGAGGGATGTGGAAGGATAAAAGAGTTGCGAAGGTGTCGGGAGGAGTGCGGAAGAGCGTGGAGGAATGGGAGGGTTGCGGAGGTCTCTTTCGGGAGGTGTGCGGAGGAGTGGGGAGGAATGGGACGGTTTCACAAGGTTTGGGAGGAGTGCGAGGGGATGTGGAGGCATGGGAGGGTTGCGGAAGTTTCGGGAGGAGTGCGGAGGGGTGTGGAGGAATGGGGGAGGTGCGGATATGTGCGGATGTCCCGGGAGGAGTGCGGGGGAGTGGGGAGACATGGAAGGGCTCCGGAGGTTTCGGGGGGAGTGCGGAGGGATGTGGAGGAATGGGACGGTTGTGGAGGTTTCGGGAGGAGTGCGGAGGGGCCTGGAGGAATGGGGGAGGTGCGGATGTCTGGGAGGAGTGCAGAGGGATGTGGAATGATAAAAGGGTTGCGGAGGTTTCGGGAGGAGTGCGGAGGGATGTGGGGGAATGGGAGGGTTGCGGAGGTTTTGGGAGGAGTGCGGAGGGATGTGGAGAGATGGGAGAGTTGCGGATGTTCGGGAAAAGTGCGGAGGGGTGGAGAGACTGGCAGGATTGCGGAGGTTTCGGGAAGAGTTCGGAGGGGTGTGGAGGACTGGGACGGTTGCGGAAGGTTTGGGAGGAGTGCGCAGGGTGGGGGGGAATGGGGCGGATCGCGGGTGTTCGGGAGGAGTGCGGAGGGGCGGAAAGAATTGGAAGGGCTCCGGAGGTTTCGGGACAGTAGATGGACCATATATTCGAACCCTCTCACGTTCGAGGGAGATTCCAAATCACCCCCGCGCCCCCGACATCAATGTTGATCTCAATGAAGGCGGTGCTTTGGGGTTCAATATTTCTGTCCACTCACGCCCCCCCCGTCGCCACGCCATCAATATTAATTTCGGGGGGTCGGGGGGGCATCTTGGGCCACAGGGTTCGAATCTAATGTCTATGTACGGTCCCTAGGTGTCTCGGATCATTGGAATCGGGCCCTTGGGATTCCCTAGGCAATCCTTTGCTGGTCCGTAACATGTTCTAGGAAATGCATAGCACATGCAAATGCTTCGTGCGGCGCGCGCCTATGGGTGATGGGTGGTCTTAGTTCGTAGACTTTCCGAGGAAATCCCTAGCATGTCCTAAGACAACCTTAGAATGTCCGAGGAAATCCAGACCGTTTCATTTGGAATGTCTTAGCATTTCTTATGGAATCCTGTGCATATCTTCAGACCATCCCTGGCATTTCCTTCGGAATGCATTGCATTTCGCAGGACATCCTTGATATGTCATAAGACATCCATAGCGTTTCCTACGACATCCATATCGTTTCATGTGGGATTGCTTAGAATTTCCTGGGAAACCCTTTGCATCTCTTAGAGCATCCCTGACATCTCCTAGGGAATCCTTGGCATTTCGCAGGATATCCCTAACATGTCATAGGAAATGCATAGCAACCCGAAGGAAATCCTGAGCATGTCCTTAACGTGTCTTCAGCATTTCCAAGGAAATGCGAGGGTGCTTAGCATATCCTGAGTCTCCGTTCTTTGCGACTCCCCAGGCAATGCGAGCGATGCATAACATATCCAGAGGCACCCCCGCGGATGTCTTCTCCCGCGCCCTGCGGCGCGCGACGCGTCACACAATTCATGTTCTGATCTGTGCGCGGTGCTAAAGCTATCGTTCTGCGAAAACGGCTCCTGAACTTATTTAAATACTGGTTCTTGGGCGTGGCTTAATGGGGGGGTCACAGATGGGGGGTCAGAAAAGGTCCCCTTTCGTGCCCCTTTCGGGCCCCTCCAGAGCCCCAGGGGGCTCGTTTAGATACCATTTGGGTACCTTTTCGGACCACACTCGCCGCCCCCCCATTTATGATCCCCCATTACGCAGCGCCCAAGGTTCGGTGCTAGCGATAACCCCGGGGGGGTTCTTAACAAACCTCCCGAGGTTAAGTCAGCCCGTATCGTAGCGGCCCGCCTGCGCGAGGCCAGTCGCCGCTGCTGCCGAGGCGTCAGGTGGCCCCGCGGGGTCCTCAGGACAACGAGGGCTCGGCGAGCGCGGAAAAGGGACGGAATGCGGGGCGGCCCCTCTCCTCCTCTTCCTCCTCGTTCCTCCCCCTCCTCCTCCCTGACACATCCTCCTTCCTGGCTTTTCCTCCTCCCAGACTTCTCCCTTTCCTCCTCCTCCTCCTCCTCCTCCTCCTCCTCCTCCTCCTCCTCCTCCTCTTCCTACCCCCGTCCTCCCGTTCCCCCCCCCCCTCCTCCTGCGCCTCCTCCATCTGGCGGTGGCGTCGTCGACAACCGCTCCGCGGGACAACCTGATCGGCTATGAAAACTGATGCTGTTTCGTGACTTCTTTGCCCCACCTGGGCCCTCGGTTTCCAGCCCCTCCCGCGCGGGCCTGTTCCCGCCGTCGTCGTCGTCGCCGTCGCCGTTGCCGTCGCCGTGGCCGTGGCCGTCGTCGTCGTTTTCCTTCGAGGTCGGCGGCACGAGCTGCAACTAAGGCCTTCGCAAACGCACGAAAACCATGCCGAGTCGTGGCCCCGCCGACACGAGCGACGACGAACACGGCGCCGAGCGACGGCGGCGGCGAAGAGCGGTGGAGGCGGCGACGACGACGACGACGTCGGAGACGAAGCTCACGAGCGGCCCTTGGTCCCTCGATAGGGACACAAAAAAGGGCACATAAACATAAAAACTCGGGGGTCCGCGCGGATCGGCGCTGGACCCCCCTCCCTGGCGCGCGGAGCGCGCCAGGGGCGGCGCCGGAGGCGCCGCCGGGGGGCTCCAGCGCCGATCCGAGAGATGGGCGCGGACCTCCGAGTTGTTATGTTTATGCCACTGTTTGTTTCCCTGCTTGAGTCCCCCTGGGGTCCTTGGCCTCTGGCTCCCCTCGCGCGGGCCTCGCGCCCCCCGGCCCTGGCGCAGGGCCGTCCGCCGCGGGCCGCGGCGCCACGGCCCAGGACAGCGTCAGCGTCGGGACCAGCGGGAGCCCCGCGTCGGGCAGGATCTCGGCACGATGGGGGCAAGGAAGGCGGCTGCTGCTCCGCCAGTTCCTCCTCCTCCTCCTCTTTCTCTTCCTCCTCCTCATCCTCCTCCTCCCCCTCCTCCCCCTTTTGCTACTCCTCCTCCTCCTTTTCCTCCTCCTCCTCCTGCTCGTCCTCCTCGGCGTCCCCTCCTCGGCGCCCTCCTCCTCCGCGTCCTCCTCGTCCTGCTCATCCCCCTCCTTTTCCTCCTCCTCCTCCTCCTCCTCTTCCTCCTTTTCCTCCTCCTCCTCCTCTTCCTCCTCCTCCTCGTCCTCTTCCTCCTCCTTCTGTTGGACCAACCTGGGCGTGAAGCTGTGGCGTTTGGGATGGCGAGAAAAGAAGATTCGGGTCAAGAACACCTGGAAAGCGCCGCGAAAAATGAGGCAGAACGAGTACCGGATAATATGATTCGTGAGATTAGGCGCCCGCCAGGTGTGACGACACTCACATTTCTGGGATCGCAACAACGACATGAAGCAACATACGTTAATACTAGCGAATATTAAGATTGATGGTGAGTGTCGTCGCGGCTCAACAAAGTTACAATGCGTGACTCAATTGCAGGCAAGCGTCAATTTAGTGCCGTCAGTTGATACAACATCAAGTTGCAAACGAGAGCAAACATGCTGGCTGTGATATTCATGTGGTGGAGTGAGGGGAGGAAGATACATCAAGAGAAGGAGAGAGTAATTATGCAAGGGCAGATGTGCCAGCCGTGCGGTTTGTGGTTCGTCACCCAAGGTTTCGCGGTTCACCCAAAGCGCCCTTGGTCCCAAGACCTGTGTGTTTTTTGTCATATACTTCACGAGTTAAGCGCGAACCCTCGGTGGCCAAGTATGCTTAGGCTTGCCTGAAAGGCTAATTGTGGCACGGGCAAGTGTGGCACAATAGAAATCAGCCAGCCCCCTTGCGGGGCCACCAGGCTGCGAGGGTGAGGATTGCAGCTCCCTGTACCACTTGCAGCTTCCAGTTCCGATTGTTACAATCCTGCTTTCTGTTTCCTTACTGTTAAGTGTTACTGAAATCGCGAGGGGGGGAGACCCAGACAAGCTTCTTTGCCGTGCCCAGATCGCATTGTCCGAATTCCTGGGGAGGCGCGGGACATTTAAAAATACGTGATATCCGCGTCCCCGAAACCATACACCGTCATGAAATACACAATACTTGTGCCCCCGAAACCATAAACCCTGGGTAAATTACACCACATTCACGTCCCCGGAACTATAACCCCTCGTACATTCCGCAAGATCCGCGTCCCCAAAACCATAAAGCCTCGTACATTACACAATGTTCGCGCCCCGAGACCATCAACCCACTTATAGTGCAAAATATTGACGCCCCCGAAGCCATAACCATGTGAAAATTATGCAATATTTGCGCCCCCAAGGCCAGAATACCGAATAGTTACGCCATATTCGCGTCCCCTGGGCAATCTACCTTCGTAAATTAGGCGGTCCCCGAAGCCATAATCCCGAACACATTACACCACATTCGCGTCCCCGAGGCCATACCCTGTAGTCAATTATCTAATGGTGGCGCCCCTGGAACCAAAATCCATAACAAATCACTCAATATTCGCGTCCCCCAAGCCACAAACCCTTGCAAATTGCCCAACGCTCGCGCCGCCGACACGATCAACCCACGTAAATTACAACATGCTCGCGCCCACGAAAAAACCTTTGGACAATTACAAAATGTTCGCGCCCCCAGGGCCATAAACCATTGTAAATCACGCAGTGCTTGCGTCCCCGAGGCAGCACGCCGTTAAAAAGTATATAAGATTCGCATCCCCGAAGCCATAAACAATGATACAACATGCAATAGTTGCGCCCCGAGGCCATAAACCTTCGTAAATTAAACATGCACCCCCGAGGCTAGAAACCCTTGTAAGACTGCGCGATGTTCGCGTCACCGAAGCCACAAGCCATAAGAATTGGCGTAATATTCGCGCCACCGAAGCCATCGTAGGTCCCGACACTGCTTCGCGACAGCGCCCAGACATCCCAACGCAGCTGTGGCAACTCCCATTCTAAGAGATGGGGGCCGACGGCAGGAGGGCGAAGTCCTGACGGATAAGCATAGCTGCGCAGGGTCGTGGCCTGAAGATGCAGACTTGCATGCGCCCCCATCTTCCTCCCCTCAGTCGAAATCACCCCCTCAACTCCAAAGGCCTTGCGAATGAGACGTAAGGTATGGCGCCTGCCAAATCGTTGCCTGGTCTCCTACCCTTGGCGGGGCGTGCTGCGAATCCGGAATCGACGCACGCGAATTGGGATGTTGGAGCCTCGAAGTTGTGCTCCGAAGTGTATTGCGCTGGCTGGAGTCGATGTGGGGTGGTTGCTGGAATGCGTAGATTGTTGCCCATATGATGGCGGCTGGTTCATTGTTTGTGCTGTCGTCTGCATGCTGTGGGTGATGCTGCCAGTGTAGTGGCCATTGTAGCTTGGTTGGTGTCCGTCGTAATGGAATGCTGCGAATGTCCATGCTGAGTTGTCCTTTGTTGCCTGCAGAGGGCCGTCGGAGTATCGGAGTAGGCATGTAGTGGTTTGAAATGGTTGCGCGTAGAATGGTAGTGCTGCTCGAGTTGCTGGGTGGAATTCAATGTTGGTTAAATTGCGACGCAGTCTGATACGGGATTGAGTCGGTAATTACTTGGAATAGTTGTTTTTGAATGGACTGCTTGAGGCGGTGAGTGCTGAAGCTAGATGCTTGAGATCTGGCGTCAATATGAGCAAAACGGAGTTGCCTTTGGCTGTCGGTTCCGCTTGGTGGAGCGCGTGGCGTAAGGACTGATTCAGTAACGGGCGAAACGCTGCAAGTGCTGGGCAGGGTCGTGTTCTATTTTTTTTGTCAAGTCATGTTGGCCTGGGAAGGCAGACGCCAGTGTGCTAGGGTGAGCTTCGCGGGGGCTATGTTGGGGCAACTTTCTCGGGGGTGAGTGTGATGCTTGCGGTCGATCGTTGGTAGTAGCTCTAATCATGGCTTCCCTTTGTGACGAATATCGTGCGCCGGATGGTTGGTATAGTGCTTCGTATTGTGTTGCTAATTGTTGCTGTTGCAGGGTGTTGAAATATCTTGGGGTTTCGCCTGTTGTCATGTCGTGTGTCGTCGCTGCTCTGGGCTCTGGCGCCCTTGGTTGTAAGTCGGTTTCGTTGTGCGTCTTGGTCGGTGTGGGTGATGTGTATGCGGCGTGGTGCTCAGGGGGTGGCAGGCTCGGTCGGTGTGATGGGTGCTTTGATGGGTGCTTCTTAGGTTGAATCGATGGTCATGGCTGTTGGCGGCTGGTCCGTTGGGTACCTTGTGCTGTCGTCGTGATGTGTCATGCGGTGGTCGTCGTACTGTGTACTCGATGAAGTGGTCCTCCTCCTCCTCCTCCTCCTCCTGCTCCTCCTCCTCCTCCTCCTCCTCCTCCTACTCCTCCTCCCCCTCATCCTCCTCCTCCTTCTCCTCCCCCTCATCCTCCTCCTCCTGCTCCTCCTCCTCCTCCCCCTCCTCCTCCTCCTCCTCCTCCTCCCCTCCTCCGCGTCCTCCTCTCCTCCTCCTCCTGCTCCTCCTCCTTCTCCTCCCCCTCTTCCTCCTCCTGCTCCTCCTCCTCCTCCCACTCCTCCTCCTCCTCCTCTGCGTCCTCCTGCTCCTCCTGCTCCTCCGCTTCCTCCTCCTCCTCCGCCCCGCTCCGCCTCTGGTCCCATCGTCGACGATGCTCGTTCGCTGCTGCACCGGAGGCAGTTTTGCAGGGCGAGCCCCTATGGGGCGAGGCGCGCATGTTTTTTGTTTGTCGCTTGAGACTTGATCCAAAACGGGTGCGAGCATCACTTCTGGACACTTGTGGACGTCCAAGGCCGCCATCGTGGCCACGGCCAGCTCCGTCTTGGAATTCGAATCCGAACGCACCCGAAGAGAGGTCCAAGAGTCGATGTTTGATCCTGGATGGGCTCCTCATCCTCCTCTTCCTTCGGCGGTGGACAAACCTCCCTTTAGTAAACCTCCCCCTCGTGAAAACGGCCTGGGACCGAAACCGACGGACCTGGACCCGCAAAAAAATGCCGGCCGCGACGCCCCCTCGCAAACCGAGAACGCCCCATTCCTGAAATCGTCGTGTCGGGGTAGGAGGTCTGTCAACCTCCGATGCACAACTGCTCCAACCTCGGGGTGCCTTTCAGCGGCTACGCCTCGCCAGGAACGTTCCGGGGCGGCCCGGAGCGCCCCCGAACGGCCGCCATAGGGCCCGAGAGGCATCGTGCTGGCATCGGCGACGCATCGCCGATGAGCCCCACACAGCGAGGCCGCACGGACCTGGGCGGGCTGGGCTGTCGGGCCCCTGCCGGCGATGCATGGGCGATCGGGTGTCGATGCGTCCCCCCCCCTTTTGGACGCCCGAAATGGGCACGGAAAGAATGGGTACAGTGCCCAACAACAAATGTTGTCCCAAACCAACAGCGGCCGCTGTTGGGCAATAGGCCTCCTGTCTCAGATGGACACAGGCCGCGGCGGCGCGGTCAGCGAGTCCTGTTCAAGATGAACAGGAACTGCTGTTGAGCATTGTACCCATTCCTTCCGTACCCATTCCGGGCGTCCAGACCCTTAGCCTGTCCCCCCCGATCGCTGTGCCTGAAGCAGAGGGCGCACACACTGCTTCTCCTGAGGCGAGGTGGCGGCGCCACCGCGAGCACAGCGGGCCACGCTCGAGCATGCCAGACTCCGCCAAGCACTGCAATCGGTGGCTTGTGGTGGACAACTCGGCGTGCAAGGAAAGCACCCGGCTCAGCGAGTGAAGCGGACGGAGCCTTGAAGTCGTGGAGAGGCTCGAGGTACTTACACACACAGTCACACACACACACACACGCACACACACACACACACACACACTCGGCGGTGGACAAACCTCCCTTCAGTAAACCTCCCCTTAGTGAAAACGACCTAGGGCCGAAATCGACGGACCTGGACCCGCAAAAATGACGGCCACGACGCCCTCTCGCGAACCGAAAACGGCCAATTCCTTAATCGACGTGTCAGGGTAGGAGATCTGTCCACCTCCGACACACACACACACGCACTCAAACACCCTGTCGTGATCCTTCTCATGCCGCCGCTACACCTGTTCCTGGCCCTATTTCTCCCTTCCCTCCCAGTCTGAAGGGGCCCTGGGACACACAAGTAAAAATACACAAAGGATTCCCCATATTTTCTTATATGTTCTGGGTTTTTGTCTTCCCCCCCACTTCGCATATTTTCCCATATTTTCTGGGGAATCGACGATTATTTGTGTCTGTGTGTGATTTTCCCCTCCTCCCAGGCCTCCTCCTGCTCCTGGCTCCCCCTCCTCCGCCGCCCCCTCTCCTGCGCCCCGTCCCGGTCGAGGGTGCCGCCCGCCGAGGCCGGCCCGCACCCAAAAAAATAAACCCGTCGGACCTACGAGCAGTGAGGAGGATACTCCTTAGTGGGCCCTGGAAACGACAAGGTCGTCTTTTTACCGGTTCCGTTCTGCCGTTTTGTTGCTGGTTCCGACGCCGTTTTTGTTACCGGTTCCGTCGCCGTTTTCTGACCGGTTCCGGCTCTGGTTCCAATCCTGGAGCCGTTGTTTTGCCGTTTCCGGTCGCCGTTTTTGTTGCCGTTTCCATTTTCAACGGACATTTTTCATTTTTTTGGAAACGGTGAAAAAACAGCCCTGCCGTTTCCGGGGCCTACAAAGGAGGATACTCAGCGGATCTGTGGCACATTCTCGGGTTTTACGCATGGCTGGTCGACTCGACGCGCAGGTCAGTTTGGGGGTCAATCGACTCGATCTCCTCCTCGAATGGGGGGGCCGGTGGGGGGGGCGGACGGGCACAAGATCGTGGAGAGGGGCCCGTGTGCAAAATTGGCATGCCCTGGGAGGGGGCGATTTCGGCACTCCGCCCCGACGAGGAAGCCGATCCGGCACGACGCACGCGCGCGGGGGCGAGGCGTGGTGCGAGGTGCGGGCACGAGCAGATCAGTCTTGGGACCAATCGACTCTGCAGCCGATCCCCTACACGCCGGTCGGAAGAAGTGGGTTGAAACATGAAGTAGGAGGGCGTTGGGGGCAGATTGGGTTGCCACCTGCCCCCCGAAGAGGAGGCAAGGAGGAACACCGCTCGACTCTCGAAGTAGGACGGCGCCTGGAGCAGATTAGGAATTGGGCATCCAAAAATGCCTGCTTTCAACGGCGGGCGTGCACTCCAGATTTCGTAATAAAAGGGAGGGGGTCTGGACCCTCCAAGCCCAGCCATTCCAGACCTCCTCCGTGGGAGAACCCTCCAAAACATCGTCCCCAGACCCCCCCCGGCACTCCAAGATAGCCTGGAAGAGACCCTCCCCGAAATGAGACCCCCCTCCCTTTATTACGAAATCTGGAGTACATTACCTGTGGCGGGTTGTTTTTTCAATCCCACGACTCTTGGAGCGTCGGGGACGACCTCGGGGTGGTGTGGTGTATACCTTTCCCCCGTTTTCCGATGGAAGCGACGAAAGATGTGTACACCAGGATCCCCCCTCCCTT